GGGGGGGGGGGGGGGAGTCAGGACGCAGCCCTGGACAAAGCCAGGCTCGCTGGCGGCCAGGGCAGGACGGAGACCCGTGGGTCAGACGGGAGCCTGTAACGGCACTCAGTCCGGACTGCGGTCTCCGGGTCCCGGTCTGGGGACAGGAGAAAGTTCAGAGTCCCCACCGAGTGGGTGTGGGGGGGAAGGAGAGCGGCAGGGAGGGTGGCCGGGGGGCCGGAGGGCCGCGTGGAGAGTGCGGCTGGTGCGGACCATGTGTCCGGGGCCCCTGCGCCGAACTCCACGTCAGACGGCTGGCCGTGCGCTGGGGGTGCTTGCTGAGCTCAGGGCAGCCGGGACCCGCAGACAGAGGAAACCAGGAGGCACAGAGAGTGCTAGAATGTCAGAGCCCACGGGGCTGCGTGGGCTCCACGTGCACGCAGGACGGCGCCTGTGGGCCGGGGGACCAGACCCTCCGTCCTCTGCCCCCAGGCAGGTCCCCCCCACACAGAAATCTGGTCCCAAATAACAGGGAAGCAGCAGGCTGCGGGCCGTGCAGCTGCGGGATGGAGTCTGAGCGCCCAGGCCGGCCCCCTCCCCGCTCACGTCCTGGAGCCTACACAGGACACACCTCTGTGCGGGGACAACCGAGCGGCCACAGCACCGGACGAGCGAGAAGACGGATCTCCGGAAGCCCCTCCGCCTGTCTGCCATTCTGGGAAGAAGACATTACGGTCCTCTCTCCACGAGGGAGTAAACTGAGGTTCAGAGACGCTTGGTGACCTGCCCAGAACGTCACAGCACTGAATGAAGGAACAGGGCTTCACCCCCAGGCCTGGCTCCCTCCCAGCTCAGAGGCTGCAGCAACAGCCCCGGGGCCTCCTGAGTCCTGGTCGGGGGGCCACTCGCACCTCCCCTGCATCTGGCCCCCAGTGAGGCTGCGTAAGGCCGGCAGAAATACTGGAACGACCGTGCGCGCGGAAGAACACGGCGAACGCTGAAGCGCGTCACGGGGTCACAGGCGCCAGGCGGACCTCCGCGTCGCCAATTCTGGATCAAGAGTAAACCGCGGCCGTCAACAACCCTCACTCCACAAACACAGAGGCAGCGAAATGCCGAAATCTGCGGGCGGCACGCATGGAACAGAACCAGCAGACCCGTCGGCCGGCCGTGTGGACATCGCAGGGAGGGTTGTCACAAGGTCGTCCTTCCCACTGTCCACACTGCTGGCCGTGTACTTAGGGCCACTGGCCCCGTTGTTATTACCCTTAACTCCCCGCTGGCAAGACAACCCTCGACAGGTAGAACCACAGAGGAGCCTTCAGCAGTGGATTCTGACGTCCATAACCCTAGTTTATTCTATTTTTTGAAAAAAAATTTTAATGTTTATTTATGGGGGGGAGGGGGAGGAGAACAAGTGGGGGAGGGGCAGAGACAGAGGGAGACACGGAATCCGAAGCAGGCTCCAGGAGCTGAGCTGTCAGCACAGAGCCCCACGCGGGGCTCGAACTCGTGAACTGTGGGATCATGACCTGAGCCAAAGTCGGACGCTTAACGGACTGAGCCCCCCGGCGCCCGCACAGCCCTAGTTTAAAGACAACAACAAACAGATTTTGTGTCTCTACTAAATATCCACGTTGCTCAGCCAGGTCCAGCCTGGAGCAGAGGTCTGGCCCCGGGTGGGCGGTCACTCTCCCTTTGAGGCTGGGGTCCTCCCTCCCTCCTGAGGACAGTGGCCACACCTGAGGGATGTGACGCAGGGCCTCTTGGGGGGACCGGGCTAACTAATCCCTAGAGAGGACACACAAGGTGCATGGGAACGGGCCCTCCACCCGAAGGCCACTAATCTCCAGCTCCGCCCTCCTCCCTCACCCCCTGAGCCAACCCTCCTCACCCAGGATGGGCTGAGGACACCCCGAAGGCCCACACTTGTCAAACCAGCCGCCATTCCCTAGGGAGACAGCACCCAGGCTCCGGCCACGCACACCCTGGCTTCCTCCCCCTCGGGCGCAAACCTGGCGCCTCCCAGTGGCTCTTCCTCTCAGGAAATGCAAACGCATTGCTCTCTGGGTCTTCGTTCAGCCACTGAGATTAGAATCCGGGGGCACACTGGACACACCCCGCTCCTGCTGAGCTCAGTTCCTTGCACGGTGTGAGGATGCCCTCCACCTCCCCCTGCCCCGTGCCCCCGCGGCCTGAGCTGTGGGGTGCCCCTGACAGAGGCGCCCAGGCCTCCCGGCCCCCGGCACACATTCCCAGTGCTGGCCCCGGGCCGGGCAGACCCCCTCCTGCAGCCGAGGGATGTGCGAGCCTGGAGATGGGTGGGCAGGGCGGGCTCAGCCCCCAGATTCCAACCACACCTCCAAGCGGCAGGAGAGAGAAGGGGGTTCACGCCCATCACGCGCCAGACCCTCCCCGACCCCGGCCTGCTGAGAAACTCAACGCTGCCGACCGCAGATGCTTGGCTGAGGCCGCCCACCAAGTCTGCCGGAGCCTCCGGGGAGGACTCCCCGATCGCGGTCGGCCCGCGGGCATCTCTACAGGGTGCCCCGGGTCCAGGCCTGTGGGAGGAGTCTTGACCCTGGCACAGCCTCGAATGAGGAGCCTCTGACCTCAGCACCACGTCACCCGGGACACACGGCGTCAAAGGCTGGGAAGGGCCCCCCCGTTCCCGTGCTCTCTCTGCCCGCACACAGATGACACTCTGCAGGGTCCCGCCCCCACTCTGGCTCTGCCGCCCCTGAGCTGCCCGGCGGGTGGGAGCCGGGGACCCCCAGGAGCTCAGCTCACGGGCGGGGGGGGCCCCAGGCCCGAGGAGGCTGGACCCACGGTGGCGGGGTGGGGTGGGGAGGGACAAGCCTCCTGGCAGGTCAGGGGAACTCACGCTGCTTCTCCTGGAGGGCGCTGGACGTGCACGGGGTGCTCCCATCTCCTGCGGAGAGAGAGAAGGCACATGAGCAGAGTCCCCGGCACTGTGGCCGGACGCGGGGAGGCCGCTGGTGCCCTGTCCTGTCCCTCCCGGCACTGGTGCCCTGCCCCGGCCGTGCCACTCCGGGCACTTCAGGCAGCACAAAGCACGAGCCAGGGAAAGCCAGGCCTGACCCCCCGACGGTCAGCGTGCACACCGCCAGCCCCTTTCCCGACTCCTGACCCTCATCGGCCGCTGCTCCCCCCCACGTCCGCTCAGATGTCCCCTGACCTGCGTGGGTCCATCCCCAGCCCTGCCTCAGCAAAGGCACCACCTTCTCCCTTCTCCCCCTGGGGCCCTTTCCCTCCCTTGGGCCCCCGTGGTCCCCAGGTCCTGGGGTGTCTGACTCTGAGAATTGGACCCCTCGCTGGAAGGGACGACTGTGCTGCCAGCTGGTGTCCCCACACCTAGAATGCGCTTCTCAGCCGACATTTGTGCAGTGCACGAAACGCACACCCTCCCCTCGTGCAGAATCCGCCCCTGGACTATGGAACTAGTTCTTTCCCGTCTGGGAACAGCTTTTTTCTGCAATCGTGAAAGTCGTACAAACTCCTCACTGAAAATCTGGAAAACACCGAAAGACATAAGGAAGGAAGAAAACGTCTCATAATCCCGTCACTGAGAGAGAACCCGCGATCCCCTCACGCCTGTTCTTCCGGGCTTTTCCGTGTTCCGTCTGGGCTTACGCCACCCGTCTCTGAAGTCCCACCAGCCAGACTCATCGCAAACCATCGGGAAGCACAAAACACACTCTCTGAACCGCGAGGTTGGGCGTAAGTTATTCCCCGAGTCACGAGGCCCCGTGTGAGCGAGGACAGACCCGGCCCACCGTGACCTCACCTGCTCCCGTCACTGCCGCCAGCCCCGCTCTCCTGGCATCCTGAAGCCCGGTCAAGGCGCAGGGACCCCGCACGAGGCCCCGTGGGTGCCGGCAATGCTTTGCAGGGAGGGTGGCCCCGACCCACTCCCCCCTCTGCAGGGGACGCTGGCTCTGCCCCGACCTCCCTCCCGCTGATGGGCCTGCAGTGGCTCCCCGCCTCGGGGTCCCACGTGATAAGCAGGCCTCTCGGGAAAGCGGCCCCCTCCCGTCCCCACGCCCTCCGCCCACCAAGTCCCCTTCCCCGAACGCACCCCTTTCCTGCACAGGTGAGGCCGTGCCTGGAGCCC